TATGCAAGATTATGTGTGTCAATTTATGAGTAAATCCTTCTGTTTTCAGTTAAGTAGCGCGAATTTTTTTTGATTTTAAGAAAAGTAAAAAATAAAACTTCAAAAAACACTGGACTATGTATATTTAGTAAAACCTAGGAGAGAATTCTAGGAAGAATTCAAAGATGTCTTACGTCGCAATTTGTCAACATATATATTATAATTGCTGAATAGTTTGTACATGTGGTAGTCCTTCACATGTGTCAAAAATATGTGTTTTTAACTCTGAATTTGCGTTCTCATGTGTGAGACACTGTCATTTACATCCTAATTTAATTTTACAAGGCTTTTTATTACCCTACCTTGGCCTTGAATGGCTGAACTTCCTACCGATCGAGTTTCCCATAGTTACATAAGTTATATCAATACATGGTTTAGTTTCCATATCCTTTTTATGAAAAAAAAAAAAAAAAAACTACTATAAAACAAATTGATCTATGGTCTTGTTCAAGCTATCCAACTGATTTCCTCTTTTTCAATTGTGAGTTCAACGCCTCAATTAGCCACAAACTCTCGGCAACAACCAAGTCTCATCAACGGTGAAAGCGCCACACTCGAATAGGTAAGTTTCTCATAATATCATCAAGAGAACTGAAAGATCTAATAGTATCCGGAAATAGTCCCACAACTTTCTTGTGATTTTATGGATTTTTTGGGGAAGAGAAATAGTTTTGCTTTTCTGCTAGAAATGTCTTGGAAGGGAAAAAACAAAAAAGAAAAAGAAAAAAAAAACATAAGCATCATTTGATTCATATCATGGTCAACTTCATCTACTATTCAATATGATGATTTTATGCAGTAATGATGCTTTTTAGTAGTTCGGTCCTTGTGTGTATACTGGCTCAAATGAAAGATAGGGTATGCCAACGAAGAACTATTGTTTAGACCATTTCCTCATATTATGTTAGCAGGCACAGTAAGAATCACCGGATGCATGATTCTCGAGATACTATTTTAGCTTTATCCAATGCTTTATTAATCCCGCCATACCTTAGCGACTAATCCATATCACCTTAGTCCAGACTACATCTTAATTTGCCATCTTTATCGAATGAGGAATTTGTTCGTTGTTTTCCCCAAATGTACAAATGAATGAATGGAATTATAGTATTATCGATAAAAATTAAAATTACATACCACAAGTTGATACTCAAAACTATATATTCGCACGATTTTATTAATGCACGGGCGAAGCGCGTTCAAGCCCTCTAGTTAATAATTAATGTTCAAAAAAGTTTCATAATTTATGCTAATGGTCCCCTTGTTTAAAGTTAATAACGTATAATAAATAATAAAATAATACTCTATCCACATTTTCTCATCTTATTAGACGATATAAAAGGGTTTATTACGGCAACAAATGAACCAATCATCATTAATAAGAAGGATGCATTAAATTAAATTAAATTAGATTAAATTGGTGATCCGTGGAGTTATGGTTAGTCTCATCGCTTTTAGGCAAAAATTGGCATAAAACTAGCTTAAATTAAATTGGTGATGTGATGTGATATCATTATTCAAAATTAAATTTTGGTGGTAATCAGAACCCTAAATTATGGATTCAATTAAAAGGTTTGTTATTATGTAATTTTTTTTTTATATTAATCGATATATATATAAATAATAACGCGCGGATCGATAGTGGGCGGCATCTTTCACAATGTAAGATTTCTTTTTCCCTGCCTCGGTTTTGAATTCGATTGAATATATGTTTTTTGGTTAGATTTCGGTCATACATAAACAAAGCTTAATGTTTTTTTTTTCCGTTTCTTTTTGGTTTTATGTTGAATAGGAAGAGTTGAACAAAAAAGAGGCAGAGATTAATGGGTTATTAAAAGATGGGTAAAGATGAATATTGATAACGAGTATGGAATTAATTTCAAGAAAATGAGGCAACAACCTTTGGAACCAGAGTCGTTTGTAATAATGTTTCTTACGTAATTTTTCTTTTTTCTTGGCATGCAGCACCAATTCTAATGTATGAGTCATATCTTGCACTTTTTAACAAGTAAAAACAACTTAGTTGGGACTTGGGAGTGACAAAACCATCCTTTTGTTAATTGTGTACCTAGTACTATTGTTTTTTCTCATATCATAACACTACTGTTTTGTCCCTTCGGGGACATCCGATAAAACATTACAGTTTTCTTGAAATTTACATAAAATAATAATAATTATTAATTTATATAATACTATTATCTACCCGGCACATCCTATGGATCAGTACAAAAATTAAAAATCTCGATTAATTTATAAGATAATAATTTTTTAAAATTTTTTAATATAAATATAGATCTCCACAATTTCATAAATTAATAAATACATAGAATAAAAAAATAGATTTGAAGATTAACTTATATTTTAACTTAAATATTTTTTATATTTGCAATTATCATCTTTTTCCAATTTTAAAAAATTATAATAATAGAAATAGGGTGACAATTAACTTTTATTGATGTAAATTTTTTTTTTTAGTTTTACTCAATATGATTAGGAAAAACTCCCTAAAGTAATAAATTATTAATTTATCCATAAACTAATAATTCTTAATTTATTGATAAATTGATAACTTTATCCCTATTCCTATAAAAGAATCTCTTCTAATTATAATCCAATGATAAAGCAATATTTTGATTGGTTGAAAAACTCTGGATGACATCAGTTTTTTTTTGAAAAAGTTATAATGGTCATTAAATATAATATTTTTATATTTTTTTCTTCTGAAGAAAGGCAAACAGACGCCAAACCAAATTCAAAACGTGAACACAAAAACGACGTCGTTTTGGATTTTTTGTTTTTGGTTTTTCTTATTTTTCTTTTTCTGGCTTCCGTTACTTTGTTCTGTTCTCTCTCTGTCACAGTCTCTATGTTGTAACGAGAACATCAATACAATTCCTGTTGTATTAGGATTTGGTAATCCCACATATTTGTCACCTCTTTTGCTGGGTTAATTCACCTGAATGATTGATAGGTAATTTTATTGAATTTTGAAGTTTGAAGTTTGAAGTTCTGTAGCTTTAATTGGCTCCCTATGACGTGGTCTTCACTTTTCTTTCCCTTCTATCGTACAAGGATGTATAGAAATCATGTATGCAGTTGTTAAACTTTAGAAAAAGTTCAAATCCAATGATGCAATAGACAATGCTGCCTTGAGTAGAACTCTGTATTCTTTCTTAATATTCAATGATGCTTTGTTATAGCCAGCATCATGTTTCATTAGATTAATTTGCCTTTGTCCTGTGCACATTATGTACCAACAGTACTGTAGTGTTTGCAACCATAATGCACAGTTGCTCTTGCTTCATGCAATTGAGCAGTTTTTTATGAAATCAAACTCTGTTGCTGTAAAGGAAGTTGCTCTTGTTCTCAAAACCTTGTATATATGATGCAGAAGTCTTGGAGGAATCGTACTTCTTATATGTAAAATTAAGTTATATTCGTTGTTTTTTGTTGGTTCATTGTATTATGGAAGATCATATTGGAGTCCTTCATGAAAAAATAATAACGGAAAGTGGTACAGACGTTATTGGAAATTCATGAGGGAGAGAGGGAGTCTTTCCACAATCTTTCTCTTGCCTCTAATAATCGGCTCGGGGATCAAAATCTTCCCACATTACCTGCACTAAAACAACTTTGGTCTATGTTGTCTTTTGAGAATGTTTTGAAGGCCCAAATTATCTTTCCAGAGATTTGATCTAGAACGCTTTTTTGGTGTGTTTGCAACCATTAAAAAAAAAAAAATGAAATGCTGGTTAGGAAATTTATAATCTTTGTGTAAAATAGATACATTCGTAGGTTAACTTATTTAAAAAACAAATTACTTCTCATTTTTGTTAATTATTATTTCCTCAAATTTAATAAAAATTTCATTCCATTATAAAATTATTATAACCAAAAATTTATCTTAAATATAACAAAATTATAAACTGTCGCGCAACCCGCGACTACAAACAACCTAGTAAATTTATAAATTTTGGGACGGGGCGTATTATTTATAGAGGTTTCACTCTATATATCTAATTATATATAGCTAAGTTAGGTAATAGATAAATGCTAAATTATATGGCTATTAATATGAAGACATGCAGAAATACTTGACTAATGCCTTTTTTTTTCCCCTAAAACAAGCATTACATTAGATTAATTGATGTAACATAACACAAACTTAAGAAACTAATGCCTAATTGACTTTGTATATGTGGCTGTACTTTTATTCATTTATTTTGAGTGAAATCATCCATGAGTAACTATGGGGAACTAACTTGGACTAGCAAGTTAGACATTTAAAAACTTCATTAAATGAGCATCCCGTTCTTTGAACTTTTTTTTTTTTTTTTTTTTGAAGAAGTTCTTTGAACTTAATTGAGTTGGGGTGTAAGTCATGCGATTTTTTTTTTTAAAAAAACTCGGGGTCTACATAGTACAGCATGCACTATAATTCATCCCATAAGCCTTCTCCAAGAGCACACAGAGGCCGGAGGTCTCCTCCAAACTATATTTCCCTTTCCAGCAACCTCTTATCTGTACTAAAAAGAACTTTGCAGTAGTGAATATAGGATTGTAATAGTGTTGTAGTATAAGAGGTCAAGTTACCATTGGAACACTATTGACCAACAGTTATCCAACAACGACATTTTCACTGTAATGGCGATCAGTGATGGTTCACCCTTCACCGGGTAGCTGGAAAACATAATTTTAACTAAAAATATTTTTAAAATATATTTTGAGTATATTATCAATACATAAAAGCCACAAAATATAACTCAAAAAAAAGGGAGCGAGCTAGCTAGCTCGGTGCACTATTTTTCAAGCATTCAACATTGAAAGAGAGAGGAAATTATGGATAGAAGACAAGCACACCTGTCAAAACATAATGGCCAATTTTGGTCCATCCCTCATTCTTTACCACTCCATAATGTGCCCAAAAGGCCAAAAGAATCTCACTAGTAGTATTTATCGTCCCCCCCTCTCTTAAATTTCTCGACAGAATGACTGATCAAAAAAACTACATCCTGTGGTGTACATAAAATCGTACCACAATTATGTTTCGGAAATATCATCATATGACCACTCTAGCTTTCTCATTACCTGACAAAATCAATGATTAAGATTACCAATGCGGATGGATCTTTCATTGCTTACTCATTGTGGGCACCCTTTTCTTCTTCACTCTAGCTCCTCTCTTTTTCCCTTATTAATTTCTTTCTCCCCCTAACCACATTATATGATTGTTTATCTTCTTACTATCTCATTTGAGAGCTAGCTGTTATATCCATTTCTTGCATGCTTCTTCTTCTTCTTCCTTTTTTCTTTCATCTCTAGGAAAATGTGGAGCAATGGAGATCATCATCATCATCATCATTATCAGCGTGAAGATATTATCAGTTGGTTTGATGAAATTGCAGAGAAGGCAGATGAAGTTCAGACTCAAACGCTTGCCCAAATTCTTCAACTCAACTATGGAGTTGAGTATCTTAGGAAATGGTTTGGAGACAACATCAATGATGCTCAAAGCATGGATGCAAATGCATTGGAATCCCTTTATACATCTTTGGTTCCTCTTGCTTCCCATGCTGACTTAGACCCTTATATTCAAAGAATTGCTGATGGAGATAAAGCTCCTTTACTCACTCAACAACCAATCACTACTCTCTCTTTAAGGTAAAAAAATGGTTAAGTTTCTTCATATGATTCTTGTTGATGTTTCTTGTGAATATGGGTAGGGTAGAAAAAGATTTTCTTATCTCTTAAACAGTTATGAGTTCAACAAGAAATAAAGCCACCACCTAACATTTGCTTCATTTCCACCTACACATTAAAGGAAAACAAAATGTCACCGTAAATGGATTAGTTCCATTCAATTTTGGATAGTTAACGATGTGCTAATGGTTTATTTTGAACTTGAATTAGCTCTGGAACGACTGAGGGAAGACAGAAGTACGTGCCTTTTACAAGCCACAGTGCCAAGACAACTTTACAAATATTCAAGTTGGCAGCTGCTTATAGATCAAGGTGATTAATTTATTCTCTCTCAATCTTTCTACATATATATATATACACACACATTTTAGCATTTCTTAGTTTGTTTGAAAACCTTGTGAGGAAAAACAACCGTCCCAGAATAACAGTCTACTTTTTATCTGACCGTTGAACGAATTGAAATTTGTTTTGTTGGGATGGAGAGTAATAACTTTGATAACAATATTAGACTTATGAAAAGGACACCAATGTATATAGTATCATAAACCCATGTTCTTTGATTTTCTTTGTACTCATTCTGCTTAATTTATGGTGGTGGTCCTAGGATATATCCTATAAGGGAGAAAGGAAGAACTCTAGAGTTGATTTACAGCAGTAAACAGTTCAAAACAAAGGGAGGAATCACAGCAGGCACAGCAACAACACATTACTATGCAAGTGAAGAGTTCAAGATGAAACAAGAACAAACCAAGTCATTCACATGCAGCCCTCAAGAAGTGATTTCAAGTGGAGATTACATGCAATCCACATATTGCCATCTCCTTTTAGGCCTTTATTTCTCCGATGAGGTCGAATTCATAACCTCGACTTTCGCTTACAGCATGGTGCAAGCATTCAAGTCATTTGAGGAGGTTTGGAGGGAAATATGTAATGACTTAAGAGAAGGCAGTCTGAGCTCAAGAATAACCATAACAAAGGTTAGAAATGCTGTCTTGGGCATCATTAATTCGCCGAAAAGGCCTCATCTTGCGTCAAAGATTCAGTCTTTGAGTGAAGATTTGGAGGAGAAAGATTGGTTTTGCATGATCCCTAAGCTTTGGCCTAATGCAAAGTATCTTTATTCCATAATGACTGGTTCAATGCTACCATATTTGAAGAAACTGAGGCATTATGCTGGGGATTTGCCACTGATAAGTGCAGATTATGGGGCTTCAGAAAGCTGGATTGGAGTCAACTTGGATCCTTCTTCTCCTCCAGAAAAAGTTACATTTGCAGTAGTACCAAACTTTTCATATTTTGAGTTCATACCACTTCATAGACAAAGGGTGGATCCAGATATGAACAACAATAATAATGATGATGACTTCATAGAAGATAAGCCTGTACCACTTTCTCAGGTCAAGGTGGGACAAGAATATGAGATCGTCTTAACTACTTTCACAGGTCAGTAATTCATCACGTGAAAAAAAAAAAAAAATTTGAATTACATTTTTGCATTTGTTTTTCTTTTTTACATGTTTGTTGTCTACTCTATGCACTATGATACACTTTTGACTTTTGATTTATAACTCTATCTAAAAAATAAAAGAAAAAATATTCCTCCGCCTCAAAATTATTGTTGGATTTTCACAACTGGACAATAATTTCGAACGAGAGAATATGATTTATACTTGTTATTAATTTTATTGTGACATTCATATGTATAAAGCAATTGTTTTTTTTTATTCCTTTCCAAGAAAAAAAAAAGGTCTAGTTTGTAATATTGTATTAGCAAAATAGGCTCTATATTTTTCTGGGAGAGGGATATCATTAATTAGTTTACCATTGCAAATTTGCAATTACTTTTTGAGTGAATATTCAAGAGTTTTTTTGGAGTAGATAATTGCTTAATTTGGTTTCTCGATGCATTTGATCAACCTGAATTGTGTTTTCAAGAAAAAAAAAAAATGGAGTATCAAGTTACTGTCAAATTTCAAAATCAAGGCACAAGTGTGTTTCTCTAAGTTTCGTTTGCTATTTGACTGATTGTCATTGATTAAAACGACAATTAGAATTAGGTCACTATTCAAAACCTTTATGTGGATAGAAATGGTACACCAAGTTAAAGAGGTTTTTGTTTTTTTTTTTTCCTTTTGAGGCTGAAATTGCTATATATATTCTAAAATGTGATCATACACTTATCAGGATCATGCACTGCATATTTGAAGATAATATGTTCTGTCACATACTATCATATCATTTAATCATTTTGATCCATTGCTCTTACAACACATGCATATATATCCCTTTGTTCCCATAAGTCTCAATTACTCTACGAACCGATTGATAGTTGAGAGGAATTTTTATCGTGAAAGTAATTATGGTGGCGAAAGATGCGGACTGTCAATTACATGAATAAACTACACCAAATCTAACCAGCATCTGAAATTTTCTAGCCTAAACAATTCTAGCCTCATACAAAAGTTGGATTTTTTTATATGACATTTTGGCTGTGGAAGATATCAAAATCTAGTGAAAATACCGACCATGTATGGTGATCTTGACGAGACTCATGGTGATTTATATACATGGTCCACTTCTTGTGGCTTTGAGCAATTGGGTCTACATGAATATGCAGATCCTGAAATTGGTGATTGCCATTTGAATCATGAAAACTTTTCTTGAAAAGTTAGTAATCTCATTTTCTCTTTTAACACAAAAAAATACTCCCTCCGTCCCATAATTATTGTCCACTTTAGGTTTTCATTTCTAGTTTAAATTGTACTAAAAGTGAAATCTCAAACTGGACAATAATTTTGGGACAGAGGGAGTAACTTTTTAAGTCGAAAAATTTTTTTTTAACACAAAAAAAAGTAATCTCATTATCTTCGTTTTTTCTTTTTTTTTTTTGTAGGGCTTTACAGGTATAGGTTAGGAGATGTGGTAGAAGTGGCTGGTTTTCATGGGAAGATCCCAAAACTAAACTTTGTATGCAGGAGAAAACTAATATTAACAGTGAACATTGACAAGAACACAGAAAAGGACCTCCAAATAGTGGTGGAAAAGGGTTACCAAATACTGAACAAATCCAACAAAGCAGCTGAGATAGTGGATTTCACAAGCCATGCAAACCTAGCCAAACAACCAGGCCATTATGTCATCTATTGGGAGCTTGATCATGGAGAAGAAGTGGAAGAAGATGTACTAAAAGAATGTTGCAAGGAAATGGATGCATCTTTTGTTGATCATGGATATGTGGTGTCGAGAAAAACAAATTCAATTGGCCCTTTGGAATTGTGCGTTGTTGAAAAGGGCACCTTCAAGAAGATTTTGGAGCATTTTATAGGAAATGGAGCAGCTTTGAGCCAATTCAAGACTCCCAGGTGCACTACAAATCAAGTGTTACTCAGGATTCTGGATGCCTGCACTGTCAAAAGGGTTTTCAGCACTGCATATGGATCGTCATAATTGCTCATGAATTCTGATCAGTTTTATTGTTACTATATTAATTACTATTTGGGTAGCTGAATAGGCAAGTGGTGGTGTCACAAATTTATTGATGTGTTCGATTAGTACTGAAGAGAAATTGTATTGCTTAGTGTTTCAATAAGAAATTCCCATGCATTACTGAATTTCTGCAGCACACCTACTTATACGTACACATCTTCTTTTTAATTTCTTAGTGCTTCAATATAACTGATAGTAGCATTTACATTTTGATTTTTGTTTAACATTGTTAAAAATTGTATTGAAATGCTGAAAATAAACGAACAAAAAAATAAAGCTAGAATGTAAAAATTGTTAGTTTTTACGTTATATGATTACTAAGATAAAATTAAACAAGAAATTCTCGGATTCAAACATTATTTTAAATATTCTAGTAATGTATTTGGCTAACAAAGAATGTGCAAATTACATTGAAATATTCGTTGGTGTTTCAAGGATCTCTAAGCGGTTCGAAGTGCATCCCCATAGCTACACTGCATTTAATTTATCACCTGTATATTTTTTATGTTACATATCCTATACCACTATTTAAAAATGATGTATGTTACTTTTAATTAGTATTATTTAACTTATTAAAATTTACCCAGCCTTTAGAATCGATTAAAAATTAACTAATTAAAAAACTAACTAATTAAAAAACTAATTCACTAACCAGTGGCATAACTAGTATTTTACATAAGGATGGGAGAAAAAGTGCAAAGAGAAAAAAATGGAGAGACAAAAATGTGTTAAAAAAATATCTGAAAGGGCAAAATATATATATATATTTTTTGCATATTTGCAGGGTGTCTACCGTAGACAACAGTGACTAATTTCCCTCGCATATTTTTTGCATATTTTTGTTTGCATTTTTTTTAAATTAATACTTTTTAATCAATTCTAAAGGATATTTTGTTAAAGAAAAAAGTCAGGGAAGGAGTGACAGCCCTTACTAGTGTTCTCCCACTGTCCTAACCCATGGCATAAACTTTTTTAAGGATAAAAGTACACCATGTAATAGATTTAATGAATGTAATTACATGAAATGTAACAAAAACAAAGTGTTACATAATATCTTTTACCATCTGATATTATCTTCATAATTCATACATCCCCTAGCCTGTGCTTGACACTGGGGAATTATTCATGACCGATTCAATTATATATAGTTAACCGACCAACTGATTAATACGGGTTTACCTAAATCAAATCAGGAAACATTGAAAGAACTCAACCAAGTTTTCTTTTTATTGTAGAATCAATGAGATTTTCAGTACTCAAAAGTTGTTCTATGAACCATACAAGAAACTATAGTGCGCAATTTCCAACAAATTATAAACAATTAACATATGACCTTTACTTAACTAACTATTGAGAATTGAACACCGATAAAAAAAAAAAAAAAAAAACTTACGTACTGATATCACTATTCTCCTTACAGTGATGTGAAATTCTCAACATCAACAGATTCTTATTTAAAAGTACAAAATCTAAACGAAGCTCAAAAAAGACAATAAAATGTTAAATCAATATCAAGCCGTTAATTTCCAGTATATATTTTCCTCAAAATGTGATTGTCTTGTAACGAGTGGATCAATCGGGCAACCATTCAACTTTTGCATACGTGCTCATTGTCCCAAGTTTCTTTCATTTTTTTTTTTTTAAAAAAAAAAAAAAAAATCACACTTTTCTCTTTTGGGGAATATGATATATAATTATTGGCTTATATTTTATACCTTTAAAGATAGTGGATATTGTGAAGTTAAAGTCATGCAAAGTACGAGTTGGTTCTTTCTGAAAGAACGTCTAAATCAAAATTAAGAAAGCTTTGAGAATGATATTTTTGATTTACATACAAAAGATCGTGTATTACAATTTTCAATTGCTATCGGTAAAAATACGAAATTAAAAGACCATTATCAAATCATGACAATTTTTTTTTTAAAAAAAAAACAACCAACCCTTATCTCTCACCAGTCATTGAGACTTAGTAATTGGGTTAGGAACAAATTCCCTGAAACATACTGTTGGATCTAAAATAATATACTTTTCCCCTCTTAAAATAATCATCATATTTATTATACTGTAATACAATAACTAAATCATTTTGAGACAACATAATAGGGACAAGAAAAACCACTGGATTTTGTATGGGATCATAAAAAGCATCTGAATCAAATAGCAAGATGCATGGTCTACATTGCTTTACTACTATTCCTTTGCTTCTTATGTCTTAGTCATTGTGCACATGAGTTATGAATTCCCTTTTATTTAGAGTTTGACGGATAGCAGATCTAATTGTTGCGAATTATTTAACTGAGATTTATTTTAGAATATTTGATAAAAAAAAAAAGTAAAAATAAAATTAATGTTTTAAGATATGCTTAAACTGTGCTATTAAATATTGTAATATAAGCACAGATTCAGCTTAATGTTTATTAAATATTGAAAGTGTAAACTAGCAATAAAATTTTGACCCATAAAAATCTACTACATCTGTCAAAAAAAATCAATTTTAGAAATATAAATTTTAAAATTGACTTATGAGACTGGTATAACTTAGAATTGATTATTAAATTGATAAATGATCATAAAACTCTATTCATTTTTTCATATTAATTTTTAATTTGCAAGATTAAGTCATATAATTTTTATATTTTAATTTTTTAAATTAGACTATTTTTCTGGAACGGAGTTATTATCACAAATATGAAAAAATTACCTTGAAATGAATGTGTTTGGTATCTGGAGATGGAAAATGAAGAAGCGGATAGCTTTGTGATTGATCCATCATCAATGTTGGAAAATAACCTTTATATTCGTGCATGTTTTAGCAAAAAGATTAGGCGCTTGGTTTGAGTGATAAAAATATTAACTAGGTTTAAAGTAGTATTTTAAAAATATTTACTAGAGGAGTTTTGCTTTCCAAAAAAAGATTTATTATTCAGAATAATTACTTCAAATAATAAAAAAAAAAAGAGTTAGGTTCGGATTCAAATGAAATATGAAAATCTTCGTGAGAGTTGAATGGCAAGAATCAAGTAGTTATTCCCTATGTCATAAAATGATTGTTTTGTTTAGATTGTCACTTTTAATATAATTTATATGAAAAATAAAAATTCAAATTAGGTAATCATTTTAGAATAGAAAGGATATTAAATTTACTTAGTCAAGATTGACTATATATTACGATTAGATCAACTCCCAAACTATCGTTTTCCTGTAAATATTAATCAACTATCACAATCTATCATTTATCGAACGGGGAAAAAACGATTAAGAACAACATTTATCCACGTTCAACGCAGCGCGACCATGCAATATCATACTGAAAAAGGAGGAACATAATTTAGCATCATTATTAATAAACGTGTTCCCCTGTTTTTTCTTCCCCTCCCTAATCCCTATATTGTGGCTTTCAGTATGTTTGAAGAGTCACTAGTTGAGAACGACTTTGGAACCAGAGAATTGCTGCCTTTGGTTGTTTGCTAGGGTTTGGGTTGAGTTAGTTGGACGAATGTATGTTAGGGAGTCGCTCTTTCAATCCCTACCTCCAAAAAAGTATTTCGTCCCCGTCTTTTCGGTATGTATGGGAGGATGGAAAAATAAACTTGTTTAATCATTTTTTTTACTCACTCATTTAATAAGTGAGATCATTCTCACAAATTAGTTGAGTTTAGTTCTTCAATAAATTATTTAGATAATCTGTTGAAAGATTAAGGTTTTTTTATTCGTAGTGTTTTCAGTGGATTGCTCGACTGAAAGATAGGTTCCTTGATTGCAGTGTTCGTAATGGCATTGAAGATGTTAGCAACGTTACCTTAGGAGGAATCTGTAGTCACCGCTGATCTAATTTTTAAATATGTAGTTTGAAGTTTTCAGCATATTTTTAGAGATATATTCAAGATCACATTCAAACTCTGATACGTGATATGTCCGTTAATTATACGGGTAGATCTGTATAAGTATATCCATGGTATACATAACAAAGTAACATTTTATAAGTTGTGTTTGATTGTTTCTTTATATTATTCAATTGTAATTGGACGATTTTCAGTAAATGAATGAAAGTACTATTTTATTTCAAAAAAAAAAAGCATGTTAGGAAATCGAATTTCTCAACTTGCACGCATTTTAATTATGGCAATTGTGTATCAAAAAATCTATCGTAATATCTTTGCCTCCCACTCGTGGAAAAGTAATTATGGACTTGGTACATGTCAAATATTTAACTAAAGTGGTAAGAAATGATAAAAGAAATACTTACTCTATCTCGAAATTATTGTTTAGTTTAAATTTTCATTTTTCGTATAAATTAAACTAGGAGTAAAAATTTAAAATAGGCAATAATTTAGAGACAGAAAGAGTATCACAGAAGTTCATTTAGTAAAAAGATGTTTATGAAATTTTGTAATATGTTGTAATTCAAATAAAAATATTCCATATGTGATGCATAAAATTCTAATGTTCCGCATCCCATTTTCCGCACTTCCGAGGAGAAGTACCAGAGGTATAATGTTGTATTAAAATATAACTAGGTGTTAGACCCGTCCGATGGACGGGGAGAACATACACATATAAATATTACAACACAAGTGAAGCAAAAAATGTTAATATTTTTATAAATTTTGTATTTTTATAAGACGTATAATGGCTTAATTGGAAAATATAAACATAAACATCAACAACACTTTACAAAATGAATACGAAGATGATTTATTTAACGTAAAAAGGATTGCCAAGAAATCCAAAAAAGAGAATATAAAAAAATAAAAAAGAATGAATTTCGAATTGAATGATTATATATCTTGTAATACTTTTTGTAGACTACGAATGAATTGACATCTCAATCTTCATCGCCTATCAGGGTCTTTATTCCTTGTCTTAAACTAAATCTTGTTTTCAATGCTTTTATTTTATTATTTTCTTTTTAACATACGATGCATTATCACCTTATTTTATTATTTTTTCAACCCGTTTGTTCGTGTGATTTAGTTGTTTCTCATTGTCTATCGAATAATTTATTTCTTACTTTAACTTACCCATTGTTAGAAATATTTATAATATGAGGATGGGAGTATCTTTTTACCCCTTAAAGAATATCATTCCACTAAATTTTCTCCATTAATATCTTTTTGGACCTTTTCTCTAATCCCAAAGTCATCTTGCTCATTTTTTTCAGATTAAAGTTTGACTTTTTTTAAAAAAAA